CGAGGAGGCATTGAGAGGAGAAGAAAACAAGATAACAGATGAGGGAGAGGGGTATGGGAGGATGATGGAGATGGAGAGAAAAATATGCCCGTGGCAGGAAAAAGAAACTGAACCAGCTCATTACTGACCGATGCACATAGAGGGAAGGAGATGGGGGAAATAAAAGTTGAAAACATACTGCAGCACAATCAGGAAAAGATGGAGTGGGGGGGTGGGGGGGGGGCAGATAAAGAGAAAATATGCAGGATTTTGGTGTTTTTACACAAAAGCATATCGTCGTTATGCCGATTACATCACAGTGGACAGTAGCATATTTCAGAGCAGTGTCGTACAGGCAGTCCCTGGGTCAGCTGAGCTCGGTCTGTTAGAAAAGTCTGAAGGGTCTCTAATGAGCTGCATACCCACAGAGCAGAAAACAGGCGACTGCTGAATAGCACAAAAGACAAGACAATGAAAGAAGAGACATCATGCAAACAAACACACACACACACACACAAATAGACACAATGTTCACCGTCTTTACATTTTCTCTCAGCCTGGGAAGATGGAATGCATTCACGTTTTTTTTTAAGTTTTCCTTTTCCAGTCTTTTCTGAGTCTGGCTTTGTCCCTTTTGTTGCACAAACATGTTCCTCCTATGCTCCCTCTCTCTCCATATCTGCCTATCTTCCTCCATCCTCTTATCTTCCCCCGTCCTTGCTAAAACATAACAAGCTCACCGACTCCCACTCTGTGTGCCAGCACTGTCCTGTTTTTTTTATGAGGTGACAAATTAGCCCAATGGAGAACAATGCCTGCCACCGCTGAGCAGTGAACAACAAGCCCTCCTGAGTGGAAATATACAGGGCGAGGAGCTGCAAGGGAGCCCGTCACCGCCACTGCTTTCCATACCGCATCCTTTCTGAGAAGGCTGCCCACTGCCTGCACATGGCTAGAGCCCAGCAAGCACAGCCATGGTGCAATGAGCCACAGCTTAACACCATCTCAGATGCTGACAGTGTGATTGCAGCTCAGGAAATGGAGCAGAATGGTGACTAGTGAAGCCAAAACGACAAGTCAACAGGCCTGAGAGTGGGCGATCACCGGGTAACGAAACTGTAATGTATTCTGTTGGTTTGGAAGTTAAGCAAGAAGCAGGGACTGTGGCTGACAGGTTAGACGTGTGCACGATTTCAATTTCAGTATAACAACAGGTTTCTGTGTAAAGTGGAGTCATTCAAATTAAACACACTTCCTGAGCATGTGTTGTGAACCGAGCTTCTCTGTACGTCGGTAGCCTGTCCACCCATGTAAATGCAACCATTATTTCCAGAATATGAGGAAATCCAGAAAACTGCATTCTTCGGCTGAAAGGCGTCTTTAAAAAAAAAAAAAAAAACCCATTAACATTTACCAGCAATTGAATTTTGTCTTCAGTGTGAAAAGGTTCAATTGGCTTCATTTCCGGGTCAAATCCCTCTGAAGTAGTCCTGAGTATTTAAGGGCCCCGTCTCTGAGCAGCAGCGATGTTATATTGAATACTGTACAACCTTTATCCAAACAGACGGAACTAACAGTGTATCAATCAAATTAGCTGCGTTTAATGTGTAAGAATGTGCAGTAGAGATGAGATTATTTCCATTTACGCACCAATCGAAAAACTTTCACTACGAAGATAAGTGACCCGGCAGTACCTCTACCCGTAATCCCACCATCGATAAAAAGGTCAATAGGGTCACTGATACACAAAGCCAGGCTTGTGAAGGATTACTCACAACTGTGAATGACCCAGTAACCAAACATCCTCAGGACATCGACATACGTGAACACTGTGGTTTAAGAAATATCTGTCATCATATGTAGGATCAATGCAAAATCACATAAAAGATTATTAAACGAACAATATTTGTTTAACTGGTGATAAAACTTGTTCAGGTGAAAAAGAATAAAATTAACACATTACAATTTGATCGGAATCATGAATTTGGTCCATAAATTTGAGTAAAACAACAAAGTTATCTTATTGATAAAATATCAGCCTGATAATTTAACATGGACATGTGTGTGGCACATCTGTCTTTCAAGCAGGAAACCAGAATCTGCACCTTTACCATAACCACAGATGTTATAGAGAGCAAAAGGTTCCAGTATCCACAACATCAGATATGAATTCTTGTCTGGTGACAGGGTTGTAAACCCAGTGTCGATTCAGACAGTTGGTTTGTCAGTCAAACGGTCCAGTGCATAAATCTGCCAGTCCTGCAACTCCCATCATCATTCCTTCCTACGTGGCGGAGCTGAAGCAACCGCAGATTTAACTCCCTGCCTTTCTCTGCAATTCATTTTCCTTCATAAATCAAATTTGTGTTTTAGGGCGAAGGGCATGGCAATAATCTTCTGCTCGGTGTCATACCATCAGCTCCTGCCTCTTTCCTGCTCCTCCAGTTAACAAATTACAATCCAGCTATGAAAACCAAATAGTGATGAGTGAACAAAAATCCATTTCATGAAGTCCTGATGGGAAGAAAAACAGCCCGTAGGGAAGGAGGAAATGTATTGTAGGGAAGGAGGCGCCACGGTAATCCACATTTTAATGGTAAAATCTTAATTATGGAGAAATGAGGCTACCCCATGGGGCAAACAGGCCATCATCAGGGCAGTAAAATAACAGGGATGTTGTGGAAATTCCAGTAAATACACATACATGAGTACAGACGGCACATCAGCTTTTATAATGGATGTCAGATCAAACACATTCAGTAGTTGTACCACATGGCCTGGCTCAAGGAAGAATGAATTAGGCCCTGGAGCCATTAGTCATGTATGACCCAGCCAGGCGTAATCAGAGGCTAATTCAACAGAGATACCACCACTGAGGCTGAGGCCTGGCCCTCATTAATCATTACAGCATCAGCTACAGCACCAGGCTGTGGCTTTAGTCCTTATTAAATGGCCCCCGACGTTAACTTCCTGTGTTTGTGGTCGAGCTGCAGCGCTGTGAGTCGGCGAAGATCACAAATCCAAGCGGTCAGCACAATAAACACTGATGAGCAAAGCAAATGAAGGCCGTGTGACAATTACTGAACACAAACGCTCTCGATTAATTTTTCATTTTGAAAAGTAACAAAACAGCTTAAGAGTTCAAAATTTAGGCGTCAAGTAATCCGCCGCAGTGAAAATCTCGCTCCCACCCTCAGATAAGGAATTAGCTAAATATAGGGACTAAAGGATTGTCTTGGGAATACACTCGCTCACTGACTTCATTATGCAGAGAAGATGTCATTGACACAGATTTCAGGAATTTGGGGGGATTTTATTTGTCATGTTGTGGACTGTAACACAGTGAAACAGCAGCGTGAATACATTTGAAAGAGCGCGGCTCTGTTGGATGCAGACGCTCCTAATTTTTATCATCTGGGAAATTATGAATTGATCCCATGGGCTGCTCTCTCCCTTGTTTCCTGTCATCTCTCTACTGTCTACAATCAAAGGATGATAGTGCCCAACGCTTAATGAATAATATATAATAATAAATAATAAATATTGCTGTAGCAGCTCATGATATATCTGTGGCCCCGCAATGAATCCAGTGGCATCATCCAACTTTATCTTTTCTGTTTAATTATTATATATAGAGTATTCTTACACTGCTTCAGAGACTTAATCATATTATCCTTCACTGGTATCTCCATAATATTTAAGGAACTCAATGATTTCTTTATCCTCAGGCTTTTGTTGCAGTTTATTTTGCCAGCTCAATCTGTTAGTCCAAAGTAAAAGAGAGCTGATTTAGGTAACACACAGGTGGTAATACTTATTTCCCTCCAGGCGCTCTCTCTTTTTGCAAGTGTCTCTGTGCCTTAAGAGAATCGGCGATAACGGCAAATTTCTTTGATCGAGTTGCAACATTTCGCCTTCGATGCCTCGGGGCCCGTCTGTGTCTGTTCACCTGTGTTCGCGGCTTTCCATCGAATTTCTTTGGCGCCGCTCGACTTCTACATTTTGCTTTGTGTTGTATAATTCAACCGAGGAGCGGCACTTGTCATAGTTGCTATGGAGTAAATTAGAGTAGGGTTTCACTCACTCTGAACGGAGGCCGATTGGAAAGTGGAAAATAGAAAACCTGGAGTGGCCTCAAGCAGAGTGATTACTGAATGATTTGAGCGTGGAGCTGAAATTGCGGCTGTTCCACTCTGCTAATGTGTGTGTGTGTGTGTGTGTCCCAATTCAGCACATAAAACAACTGTTACTGGTTCAGCTTGGAGCTCCCAATCATTTGAGTGCCTCTCAGGTGCTGGTCCTTCTTAAAAGCCCGGGGTTGGCAATTATGCTCAGAACCAGTTTTTTAAAAGTCCATTTATCGCTCTGTTCTTTGGGCGGCTGAGGCATTTTGACTCTTGCAGTGAAAGTACAGTTGTGCCTGCGCAGATTTGTCATTTATTGTCATGTTCTTTTTATATATAAAAGTGCTTGATGACTGGATGATGTCTTCATTCCATACCAGCTTAGACCATAGACCGTTTAATCTACCTTTACCTAATGACATTCTCCATTTGATCGATTCATTTAGTTTCTGGTTCAGACACTCAAAGCCAGCACCTCCTGTTCAGATGGAGGGCATCAACTCTCTCTCTAAAGAGCTTTCATAAAATATATACTATAAATAATACTGATTGAGGCTTAAGTGTTCTTTTTGTTCTTCAAAAGATTTGTGAAAGTAGAGTTTGAATCACACTGAGGGAAAATTATAAGGTCTAGGGAGTAAAGGTCCTTGAACCCTCTATACAGATATATAGTTAGTTTGTTCATTATTGCAAATAAAGGTTATGAAATGTGCATATATATCAGGAGTACCACATTACATGCGTACATCTCTATACCCACACATTGCACACATGCAAAACACATGCATACCTAGAAGAATAAAACCCACCCACCGAGTACAGTGTCACCCATGTACCAGTTCTTTTTCTGAATATTAAACTAGCGAGTCATTAGTCGACATCGCAGAGCAATGAGGGTTCCTCAGAACGAAAGCCAGGGTGGAGGTCTACAGAGAATGAGATGTGAGGAGGAAAATAGTGGAATATGATGAAGGAGCTGTGGTGCCGTGAGGAGGGGGGGGGAGAGAGGAGAGCGATAAAAGATGACGCACTCAATCAGTCTCCACTCTGAGAGGCCTCTCATTAACTATTCCCATGATAATGACACTAGTGAAGAAGCGACCCACACCCTGTTATTAGGGACGAGGTTCCTCCTCTCTTTGCTCCTCTCTGCTGTTCGCTTCTGCCCAGTTCACTTTCTTCGGAGAACTTCATACACATTCCTCAATTTTTAATTTCTCTCTCATTTCAAGGGGACGGCCACCTCGAACTGGTATTTTCCCTCCCACGGTAACTTATTGTGTGAGGACAGCGCCGACTGAAGCCTTCAGATGCCATTCACATACTGTAGATATTGTTTATTCTAGTATTCCAGGTATGTGCGTACTGTAAGTACCCTTCATCTTAAAGGCCTTGCAAGTGGACGTACAACAACATTCTGTCTCGCTCCCTGTTTCCACTCTGTATTCAGTCTACTCTCATCACAAAACCTCACTCTGATAAGCACTGACACAGAGGAAGATAGACTGTGAGGCATGGTCACTCCTGTCTCGCAGAGGAGATGTCAAAAGAAAGGCAGTGGATGTCCTGTCATCTGGAAAGAGGTTATTCATTCAACGCAGCAGAAAGTCGAACTTCTGCTCCCAAAAAACTTATCACAGCTTCATAAATGTGGTTTGAAAGAGTTACGTCAGACTTTTATGGGCACAAAAGTAACTCAGAGACCAGATGAAACACTTGAAGTGTGACTGGATTCGATAATCAGGGAGGTTCAGTAGATCTGGTTTAACTTTTTCCTTAAATGTATAATATATATAAAAATCGGCTGCCGGTGGTCTAACATGACACAGCTCAGACACTCACTGTGCTCAGGGATGAGGTAACGTGTTCAAGTTTTATTCACGTTCTGCAGCGGATGGAAATGATTAATCACAATCCATTACATGTGACCGATGGAAAAAACCGCCTGCTGGCTAACAGTGTGGTTTTCCTTCGTCAGGCATTGTTTGACCTATAAGTTATTGCAGCAAAGTATAAAACCACAGGTAAAGGAGAGATGACGCACTTAAATGGCGACCGACATGAAACGTCCAGTTACCTTGAATAAAATCACTGAGTTTGGACATTGTCGGAAACATTCTGGATAATGTAAGAACTCAAGTCAACAAACTACATAACATAGATCTCTTTTGGACATTTTAAAGGACTGATAAATTTATTATATTACACATTTTCAGCATTGGCTTTTCAATGTGTGCTAACAAGTAGAATGTCATAGCAGCAGAATGTCACAGTAAACATTTACCTGCATGGGAAAGTTGTAAACGAGGCCTGAAACCGCATCATTGAGCCATTTCTCTACAACCCAGTCGGTCGAATCCTCGATGCAGACGTGGCTTTTGAAGCACCGCTCGATAGTCTTTGTAACTTGTTCTCTTTTTCTTTTCCCCGCCAGAGAATATGAGCCCCAACTGTAGAGCAGACATCGTACAAGTGCAGAGAGCTCTAATTTCCTCGAGCTTACCGAAACATATGTAGCTACTATGGCGTGTGCATTGATCTCATACAGTAAGTCCTAAAGCTGCTGGGAGAGTAATTTCATGCCAGGTAGGCTCCCTCTCCTCGACTCGTTGCTCACCCCTGACTGAATAACCAGACCCGGAGGGCTTCTTCACAGCAGGTGCTCTGTTGGCACCTACCCCCCCCTTCCCACGCCTAGTTGCCCACCCACTCTCTCCTGCCTCATCACTTCCCCCATATCATAACCAGCACACAGGAGGCCGTGTTCCCCTCAGCATTAAGACTCAACTCTATGTTACAGCTCTATTAGCTAACTAATCTGAGAGAACTTTATTTTATTAGCCCCTTAAGACTGCTGCCAAGGCCCTTTTCATCCTTTATGGATCCAGTAACTGTGCAGGCTCCGTCTCCCTGCCCCCCTCCCTCTTCCTCCTGTCTCTCTCAATCTTTCAATCCTTCCATCTTGCATGCTTGCTTGCCTCTTCTTGCACAGCCCAGTTATGTTGTACTTGCAGGGTTGTGGCAAATGTGCATCACAGACACATGCACGCAGGAGGGACTGCACACAACTCCGATGATGAGAGAAAGACACAGCAGGGACCTTAGGTTTCCAGCATTTGACCTCCGGTAGCAGTTTAAACATTAAGGTGTGGACTTATAGGAGAGCTTCTACCCAATCTCCCAGTGTACTCTGTTTCTGCACGACACAACAGCAAAACACACTGAGGTGAGGATCTGAGATGGAAAGACACCGCATGGCACGACGAGTTCTGCAAGTTCAAACCATCCCATGTCACTGTCATGTCATTTCTATCAGCAGGTCATTTTCAAAAGCAGCCATTTAATAAGAAAACACATTTCATACACCTTTCCATGATACAAAACATACAAGGAAACGTTGAGATCTATTGTAAAGCACATATTGTGTAAGATAAGTTTAAGTTACACAAATAGCAAAGGGAGGACATCTGCCGGATTGTGCCGTGTATTATGTACATTCAGAGTTCCTTGTATACAAACATGTACAGACATGCAAACAGATGGTTGCGGTGAGCGAGAAGCAACACGAACCGATTCACTGTCAAGGCACAATACTTGCAGTATGTTTTGATCCTGATCTATGTATTTATATTTCCAAAGTCTGGAGAGCACCTGTGCAGCAGACAGAAAGTGTAGACATCACTGTTAGTTTGATGAGCGGAGGAGACGGATAAAGTAAACTTGCTGTGTTCATTAGAATGAAGGGATGCAGTATGTTGCACAGAAAACAGTACGGCTCTTTTAAGGCTCATTTATGCCGCCTTAAGTGATACGTCCGTTTCAAACGATGTAACGCCACCGCCCACATTCGTCCATGCCTCTAAGAAATACATCTACAAAAAGGGAAGCGCAGAGTCAAAGTTTCTGACCAAAACAAACC